TTTAAAAAAAAAGGTATCAAGCTCTTAAAAAATCACCCGTTATAATAAATTTTGTAATCCCGGCGAATAACCGCAACTTTTTTTGGTGATGCAGTCTAATGGTAATACCTACATACATATTTATGTATGTTCGTATATGTGTAAATATGTATACAAAAATCAAATATTTATATACCATCCCAGAAGCTATTTTGTCAAGGCTTTTCCTACATAACGAACTACACACAGAGCGCTTCCAGTATTACTTCTCGAGAAGTGAGAAGGCAACGAGCTAAGTAAATAAAGTGGCATAAGCCACCTATGTTTTAAAATAATGATTGTAACAAATCTAATTCGAATAGATATTTGAAAACACATTTACGTGTGTGCTACTAATTGTCAGCTTTCAGGTGTGCCCGGGCCTGAAGCCCGTTAGACCATTTTTCTTTTTGGTTTTTCTTAATTACGCAAAAGCATCAGTGATGTCCAGAGGAAAATCGTATTCGAATGAAAAAGTAACGCATAAAAAATAATTCCTTCTATAAACTGTTCTTCGGAAACCGGAAACGCAATGCCTTGAAATTGTTCCCGTTTCATATAAAAAATAAATAGTTAAGGAAATCTACATGCTAGAGAAGAACTTCCGTAATAGCTTTTTAATCCTTATTTTTTCTACTGGGATGTGAATTTTAAATCTACTACGTAGCAATAAGTATGTGTGCACAAACACATCTAGTTTTATAACAATTTCGTTCGACAGAGACATACAGCTACTGCTGGTGCTGTGGACAGTGTTGCAACTTGAAGTGCGTTTTTCTTAAAAAGCTACCAAAGCGGCTATCAACATACCAAATAGTTTAAGGCATTATAATTTAAAAATTATACCTTAGGCAGCTCAACAAGGGGCGCAATCATGTTAGCACTTAACAGATTTCCCTTTATAGGTAACTGTAGGTAAACATATGATAAAGCAAATCAAAATGGATGTCCGCAGGCATCAGATGCTGCTCATATAATGTGTCGATAAATTATGATGTCAAAACCACAATTTTGAAAAAAACAGAGCTGCTCATTAGGACACCGAGTGTTGGTGCTTTCTGGGCTACAGAAGCTCCTTTGACCAAACGCGGACGACTAGCGGCCAGACCGAGTTTGCAATGTTGCATGTCAGAGTTTTCGCGCAGCGCTCACTGAGGCGAATAAAAGCCCAGCAGCAGCCTACATCTTGTCTGTTAGGGAAATTTTCTGACACAATCCTGCTCTACCAACTTCGAGCCTGTCGTGAATGTATTTGCTGAACTGCTCTCGCCATTCAAACTTTTAGAGGGTTGTGTGGAGGGAAGAATCAACTATGGGCCAGCTGCATTGCACAAAGATTCGTTTCTTTAGTTATGAAGTTAATATTTCCAAAGATTTCCAAGTCAAGACACTTCAGGTTGAAGGATAAACCAGTGCTTCTTAGCCTGCGTGAAGTCTACCCCCAATGTCTACAGATATGATGCTAAGACTAACGTTAAAGGTTTGTGCAGGAGTGATCCGGATATTTATAGTAATCCCGAAAAGGGCGAAATAATATTTGTTCTCGACTCCGAGCTTAGTCAGGGCTTTTACTATCGCCACGAGTAGCAAGCCTCGGGATGGCGAGAAATCCTTGTCCTTCAAAATATTTCTTTAAAAGCTTAGTAATTATGTTCAAGGCACACTACATTGATCTTCACTTTAACGCTTTGCTCATAGTCCTACAAGTGATCTGGTTATATCACAGTGCGTAGATGGGAGTCAGCCAGCGACTTCACACCTCCAAGGTTATTATGCAGGTGTTATGCTCCTTGAAAGCCTTAAAGAGTTAACTGCCCAAAGTTTGACCTTACATTCGTCAATTTTTTTTCCAAAAATTCAAACCACTGTAAGAGCGTTTTAGTTAAACAATTTGAATGAATACAAAGTCCTTCTCTTAATGAGTAAAATAAATCAAACGTTACTCGTACATTTTATATTTCTAATCAGGAAATATGTATGTACATAAATAGTAATTTTAGTCTACCAACCTACCCAAAATAAATTATCCTACTGACTCTGCTGGGCAAACCGTAACAACGGCAACACTGGAAGTACTATATTTTAAATAGGAAATATATACACCTTTACATACTTTTGCGCGCCTTTTCTCATTTTAACATCTCGAAAAATTGTTGCTTTGTGTAAAAGTTTATAATATGCAAAAATATTAAATTTCACACTTCGGCAGATGATGATGCAATGCCCAACCCGCTCGATGCGGATGGAAAAATGAAATGTTTTTTGTTTGTTGGAATAACTTTTTAGTTTAACACTCCTCTTTTCAGTGAATATTATTTTCCACAGAAACTATTAAATTTTTCATGCACCGGTTTTTCACACACACCAAGAAATACATATGTAAATTTTACATTTATATTGTGGGTATTTCCTTGGCGATTCCAATGTGAGGTAAAAACAAGCAAGCCGAAGCCGATCAATCCCACAATTTACATGTGTATGCTGGTGCTTATGTATGCATGCAAACACTGATACAAAAAATGCAGTATCTTCTTGATCAAATGCGTTTGTATGTAGTATTTTTAAACTTTTTTCTTAGTAAAATATGTACGTACTTATATATGTATGTAAGAACAATTTCCTTTTGATATTCAGTTTCTTACCTTTACCCATATTTATTTGCTATTTTCTCTGATCTCTTACAGTTGCGCCTCTTGCCATTCATCTTGTGACACTTGCAATGGTTCCGCCGAATCGCAATGCATCACTTGCCGTTCTGGGCGCTTTGCTTTCGATGGCAAATGCTTAAACAATTGCCCGGACGGTTACTATGCGGACAAGAAGCGCCAGGAATGTGTTGCTTGCCCCACTGGTTGTGCAACATGTAGCAGCAATGGCTTTTGCCTCACATGCCATGAAAATTGGACACGCAACAAGAAAGGCAAATGTATTATATCTGGCAGTGAAAATTGTGATGAATGTAAGTACTTATGAAATGGTCGAAGAATTAAAGAAATCTGTACATATGCATACATACATATGTACATATGTACTTGGACATATATATGGGTCATTCCATACAATATTTATACCTCAATATTTTTTTTTTGTGGTGAAACATACTTTTTTACATTCTTTATCGAAAAAAAGAAGAGACCTATTTTTTCATTTCGTCATTGTATCCGAAAATCTCGAAAAAAAATTCCCGAAATTTTGAACTCACGAGAAGTATCTTTTTTTAGTTGTTTGCAGTTAATAAACTATTTGTCGGAGAAAATCAGTTATGGTATCAAAATGTGCGTAGTTACCTCGGCTTTCCATGGGATTGTGAGATAGATTAAAAAAAAAAATGCATTAAAAAATCGCATTTGAATTGGATTAATTTAATTTTTTTATTAATTAATTTAATTAAGATTTAATTTGATAAAACATACAACTAAAAAATAGCTTTCAAGATCTTGTCTACAATTGCATAATAAGATGCGATGTTGCCAGAAGTAAGGTCCTTACACAACCAAGCCCAAAATCAGCTGTCCAAAAGCCAAAGAGCGGGTAGCCATTTAGAGTTTTACGAGTTAATTTATACTGCAACATGAAAAAAATATTAAAAATTTAAGCGCATCTCTGAGCCGCACTTTACTATCCCCCCTTAAAATATGTTTGAGCAACGAATGCCTGTATTACGGGGGAAAAAATCACAATCTCCCGACGCCATTAATAACTTGGCAAGTGAGAAAAATGTGTGGCATGTAGCGAATGTGGCACCACACAACACAGGCGGGCGGGCATTCGAAACAAAAAGAAAGGAGTATAGCGTGAAAAAAACAACTCGGGCGAAACAACAACTTTGATATAAAATGCAACAGCGACAACAACAAACGCACACCCTTCGCCACATCGGCAAGGCAAACAAGTCAATTTGTGCGATGTTGCGTATACGCCATGCACCAACGTATCATCAGCCAAGTGCTGGCTGTGAATGAATGCATGTTGCATGAGATTTCGTTGCATCCTTGCATGACGCGTGTAACTGTTGATGACAACATTTCTGATGAGTTTTTCAGAGGGCGTTGGGGGCCGACCGACCGGTTAAGGAAGATAGAAAAGGCCAAGTGTGACAAAGAATATGCCTACGCGGCGGGGAATGGGTAAGCGGGTGCGTGCATAAAGTGTAAAATTGTATTTTGTACGGTCTATAAGATTGACTAAGAAAATTTTTAAAGTCAACTTTAAAGTAGAAAATATTAGCATACTCGCTTTGTGCTAAAAGCAAAACCAAGGTAATGAAAGAATTAATCAAACCCAATTGGCTACTTGCTGCAGCAACCATGGCTTGCTGGTTGAAATGAATTCGCACGCATTGCAATTCGACTGCTACGAAATGTGCATCCGCTTGCCTTTCGGCCTGATTGCGGGTGTTGAACGCATGGCGTTGCACCTTTCAACAGTGCTTCGCCCGCCAACATAATGCAGTGACAGTTCCATTTGCATGCCAAACGAACAAATAAGCGAAGTGGAGGCAGACGGTCAGGCAGCAGGCCAGCCAGCCAGTTTAGCAGCTGATAAATAGGTTGAAAAGCACAGCGCGTACGAAACTGAGTGGGCTTTGGAGACCTTTTTCTACCCTTTGTCTTCCATTTGAGCAGTAGTCGAGCTGGGCTGGACATTTTAATGACCAGCATAGCGACATAAAGCAAAGTAAAAAGGTAATTTTCCAGCCATTTGGCAAGCTGATTGTGATGTTTTCGTATTCGCAACACGTTGTGTGGCATAGTCGCCATCACCTCAACTTAATGACACATGGCAGGTGGACGGGCAGAAAAACATCAAACAACTGGCAACAGACGGCAAAGAGTTGACAAAGGCAGCAAGGCTAAGTTGACTGATCACAGCAAGTAGCCGGTCGTGGAGCTGGTGGAAATGCAGGCTTTCGGTATTGTGCCAAGGGGATCGAGTTTTTCAAATTACTATATACGTGAGCTGGCCAAAGCAACCTGCACAAAGCACACCCTGTAAATATCGGCTCGAAGCAAAAATTTACTTAGGCTTTAAATTTTTATTTGCATTAGTCGTAGAAAATCAGATCAGATCGTTTCGAAATTTCCCTGTAATTTCCACGCTCTAGAACAGACTTCTTCACAAATTTCTCGCCCTAAGGCGGATTTCCAATACTATGTTAATTTTTGTTTTGATTATTTATAAACGTGATGTCTCGAGAAATATTAAGCGGATTTTTTAACTTCCTTCTAAAAACGTCCAATCAATATAATATACCACCCGCCCTCCTTATCCATGCGTATGTTTATTCCTGGTTGCCATTAAATTGCCTTGTTAACATAAAAAAAAATTCAGCCAACTGCCATTTACTCTACAACGATTTGCATCTGCGGCCATCATCTTTGCACTGCATACAAAGCGAAATTAAAAACACGTTAAATTTGAGAATAGTCCTGTGATTTAAATGAGTTACATTACTACATACATACACACACATATGTACCTCCTTATACAAACGAGGCGTATGACCACCGAACCACGAGGCGTGGGAGGACAGCCGCTCCAATAGCCATAAGATAGCCATGTCATTCCAAGTCCGGCTGGCTGCTGAGCCAATTCGCCGCAATGCCATCCAACTCGATTCATTTGGCTTCGGTTACGCCGCCTTTATGATTGCCATAAAATTGCGTGAAACAGCAAACAAGCAAGCGAGCCCATAAACAACAATGAGTAGACTTTAGGCATACGAGTACAGTCGGCTCCTTGCCTGTATATTTTCGTTTGCATGTGCTGTTTTTGCTGTGCTGCCAATTCATTTCATTCGTCAAATTACACTTTCCATTCTCATTTGCAATTTCACTTGGCAATTTCATTTGCATTATCAGTTTCATAGTGCATTTTTTTTGTTGGTTTCTTTTTTTGTTGAATTTTACGTTTCTGATTTAACAGAGATCTACTGATGTGGGTGTATGTGTGTTCGTATGTGTTTTGTTATGTAACCTACTACATCTCACCTCGGCGTTTTCTTTCCGCCATTTCATCTCACTTTACTTTCCGTAATTGCAATTTCATCTCATTTGTTGGTAGCATTACATGCATTCGGCAAAGTACTGGAAGACAGGTACCGTTGCTATGAAGGGTTATGCATATATGTATATTAATTACATCTTGTGACGAAGTAATTGCTGTCCTCCCATATTTAAATACAAATGAAAACAAGTCAATTAATGAAGACTGTTACGCAACATTTAATGTTAAATAAATACCATCATATATTACACTTGTATATGTGCATGTATTTACATATTTCCATTTGACTCAGGCAGAAAAATTATGAAAATGCCCAATTATTAGCAGTCTAAGAATATACAATATATTGCACAAAATGAATCACTTATTTATAAGTTAAACAAGATCGCCGACATAAGTAGTAATTTATTTCAATAAATCTCAGCATACTTAAATTATGCCAAAAACAGGAGATTTGAAATTTGTTTAACCATCTTCAAAATATTTTCAAACTAAAACTTAAACCTCTCTTGTGATAATTTTTAAAGTAACTTATATCTTGAATTCGATTTGAGATTTAAAAGAGCTGACAATCTCCTAACATGAAGTTTAGAAATGTAGCCTAGTAATTCATTGATGTTATTGCATAGTTTGAATTTAACAGTTGGCACCTCTTTTGTCTGACACTCATATTGTGATACATACTAGGGATGTTGCGGATGTGGAATTTTAGACATCCGCGGATGCGAATGCGGATGCGGATATTTAAAAACTAACATCCAAGTATTTTTTAGAAATAATTTAGGTTATTTATGTAGGTAAATAAAAACTGGAAAAGTTAGTAATTTTTAATAATGTTGTTTTTACTTAGTACTTGAATTTAAAAATTGAAGCCTTGATAAAGAGTAATTTTGCTGCCTTTTCGGGTTACAGCGTGTTTTTTAAAGGGTCGTAAATCAAGCCTGCGCCACTAAGTAGCTACTCGCTCGAGGCGACAACCTTGAAAAACTTTAAACTTGACAAAATTGTAAATTCTTTTCAATTGACGCTGCACCAGTTGAGAGGACTTTCAGTTATATTCTTTTTTGGTTGTTTCAGAATTTGGAGAACCTGTTACGTCATCAGTGCTTTGGATTTTAGTTTCCGTAATTCATTTTTAATCCTTTCTTCTTTGACTGGTTTGAAATATGTGTACTTATAGCGACGTTCCAAATAGGTGGATATGGCAAATAAATTGTTATTTTCTTTCGAAGAAAATTCTGTTTTGAAAGTCATAGCTGTCAGCCGAATTAGTTTAAAATCTTATTAGTTTGTTAAAAAGACACCCGGTAATTTAAATTATTGGAATCACGGACGATGAAGGTCTCACATCTAGTTCTCGGGTGACTTCTTAAAAAGGTTCACCTGTAATGACTTGTTTGTAATTAGTTTTTTTTTTTATTAGCTGAGCTCGACTTTTCCTAGTTGCAGGCAGTCACAATTGAAATGAACGCAAATTTTCAACATATCGTTAATATAGTATGGAAAGGGCGTAATTCACATTTTCGCTGAAATGCAAAAAAAGCCACAACTAACTAAATTTTTTTATTGCATAAAACGATGTGGGGACTTTGATTCAATGAAATGCATCATAATCAATCAAAAAGTGAATTTTGGATGTTTAGTTAGTTACGGCTTTTTGTATTTCAGCGACGATGTGAGATACGACCTTTCCGTACTATTTAATACTATATATTGGGTACCAAGTTCCACTCCTCAATAGATATTAAATTCGCCTTGAATTAATTCTTATTTGTTTTGTGAACTTGGCTGTCAACTTATTCACATATTATTTTATCTAAATTTCGATGCGTGCTAATTTTGACAACTATTACAAAATTAAATAAATGTTGTTGTTTTCGAGCTGAAATCATATTAAGTTTTATGAAAAAAAAAATAATTACACTTATCTTGTAAAAGTACGTAAACAATTTCCACTGGAAACCTATTGAAGGATCTTACTCTTTGACTTTAAATTACGAAAGAACGGGGACGTAGCATCTCCACAGGCAAAAAATGTTGGCTACAATTTGTCATTTTGTTTGCCAGATATCCGTTTCATCAGTGCACTTGCACGATATTCGCATTCGCAAAAGATCCGCATTGATTATTACGAATGCGAATGTTAAAATTAATGCGGAAGCTCCGCGGTCGCGAATGCGAATGCGAATGCGAATATTCGCAACAACCCTGGTTCATACCATGTGCATACACTCAAGAAGCACTTGTTTCATTTCATTTCATTCCATTTTCATCTCAATCCCCAACCATTTCCGTTGCATTTGCCAATTTGCTTCCAACCAAACCAACCGCCGCTAAAGAAGTTTTACTTAAAAAAAAAATGGAGGGCTCCGGAACTATACGGGACCTATTTTCATGTTGTACTCAAGTTGAGTAACTCAACCATACCTATAACCTACACCAGGTTTTGTTTCGGGTGTATTTCACCACTTTTTTTTTGTGGCCCCGAGATTCGGGGATGGTAAAAATGAGATCCCGAAAATCCCGCGATCGTAAAAATCGATAAAATTAACATACCTGATAAGTACATACATATGTATGAATATCAAAATGAAATATTTGATATTATCCAAAAGAATTTTTATCCATGTTTGTGCTACTTAAGTATATTAATAAATATTAGTGCATATATCAACGAAAACTTACTAACATTGTCACAGTAATTCAATGCTAACTTGTTCTCTGTTCTCTTCTTCTTTCCTCTCTCACAGCTGAATACTATGACAACAATCACTGTCACGCCTGCCATTCCACGTGCGAAACCTGTGATGGACCCACCGAATCGCATTGCCTCTCGTGCCCTCAAAGTCTACTCCTACAATCGCAACGCTGTGTGAGCAGCTGTGATGATGGGTTCTACATGGAGGCGGGTATTTGTGCCAAATGTCTTCACACCTGCACACAATGCGTGTCACGAATGAACTGCACTGCCTGCGCCAAAGGATTGCAGCTGCAAAGTGGCGAATGTCGCACAACTTGCGCTGATGGGTAATTACTGGGAGGAGTTGTTGTCGCTCATTTAAGAGTGCCTAGCATTACATACTTTCGTGGGGGAAGAAATGGTGGGAAGTATGATGAGAAGCGGAAAGTAGTTACAAAGGGCGCTAGCAATTATAAAATGAGCTTGAGTACATAGTATGTATACATACATAAATATATAAATACATTCATAGCATTTGATATTTAAAAAGTTTGAATGTGTGTTCAGGTTACTCCCCCCGCTAGCTGTTTCTGATACTCTCTGATTTTAAAAATGGTTAAAGTACAAAATAATAAGAGTGACGATCTTACAATAATTTGCATAGATACCCTTAAACAGACAAAGTTCTCACCGATCCAAAAGTAAAAATAAACCAAGACCCAAGACCAATATTACTCGTTCCTACGGTGCATGTAGGAAAATATATATTAGTTTGTATTTCTGATATAACGGACTATTGTTTCCAAGGATGTCAGTAGTTGGACTACGAGAAAGGACACAAGGGTTAAATCAGTTTAAGCACTCAAATCTTAAACGTCTCTTTATTTCGGCTGTATTTCATGTTTTTGTTTTTTATATGATGAGCCTTTACTACTTCCGATAACAATTTTTACACTTCTTTTAATTTTATGCGCCAAAGTTCAACCATAAAGACCACCATTCAGGAATACCTCAAATTTATGATTTTCTGCAGTTAAAAGTGCGCTGGTAAATGCTTTAGAAGTTGTGTAACGACAACTTCGTTCAAAATTCAAGGAAGCTGCACCTACAGCCAGTTTCACCAAAGCAATTTAAGTGAGAATTCTTTTTATATTTGAGTTTATTGTGAAAATGTACAGAAACAAAATCAGGGTGTGTTTGAGCTACGTAATAATTATCGCAATACTGCAGCCTTGTTGCTTTCTTCATGCTCTGTTACTAATGTTTAACTGGAAATCTATTGGAATGCTGCGGAAATTGCGCAGTAGAAACTTTGATATTGTATTTTATTTTCTAGTGATGAACAACGGATTGTCAAACTTTCGCTACTCGATCACGATGCTCTTTCAGAAAAAGTAGCGCTGCCTCATTTATTGAAGTAGTAAAACAGGCAGTTACTCGAAATGAAAGTTTATCGATACCTTACACGGAGAGAATTTTTTTCTTAAACCAAAGCAGTAAAAAGAAAATCGATGCTTGTTTTTGAACTTAGAAAACATATTCTTATTATTAAGAAAATCTAAGAAACTATAATTTGAAAATAAACAAAAATATATTTTTTGATACAGTAAATTAAGAAATTGTAATTCATCCTCCGTGAAAGCAATAAGTGCATTAGACTGGGTCGGTCCCCATACAAAAAAAAAAAGTTGCTAATGTCCGCCCCTAAATTTAAAGATTATGTTGAGAGGGTTCTGGAAAAATTTTTTTTTTTTTTT